ATACGCAGGAAGGAATACATATAAATGACCTCATAGGGGACAGGAGCCATAGTAGGGAAACAAGTGTAGTCAAAGATAAGATAAAACCAATATTGCAAACTAGAAATACTGCAGGAAATAGCAAACAAGAGGACTCCACTAGCAATAGTGAGGATATATTACCAAGAACAACTGGTGGGAGCTCCATTGTTGGTGCTAGGGAGGATAGAAGTAAGACAGGTAAACATGCACCAACAGGGAATAAAGTCACAGAAACCCAAGGCAAACGGAAACCAAGCCTGTGCACATACTCTGCACTTGGTATCTGCTGGCATGGGAAATCTGGAAAAACAGATGGGATGTGCAACTATGACCACCCTAGAAAATGCCATGCCCATATGGCAACAGGAAAATGCAAACTCCCTTCCTGTAAGCTTTTTCACCCTGAACTGTGTACCTCTTCAGTACAGGAAAGACTGTGCTTTAACTTAAATTGCCAGGCATACCATCTAAAGGGGACAAAAAGATACAAAACATCCAGGCCATGGGAAAACCTGGGTAGCCACAGCCACTCAAGAGGGAGAGGTTTTTTAGTCCCAGGAAGGAAAAAAAACTGGCAGGAAATGGTAGAAATCGTACACCAAATCCAGTCATTCCTGGAGTGGAACCACAGTCGATGGCCTCCACTCCAAACCAACAGATACAGATACTAATGCCGGAAAAAAAATCCCCCCCCCCCAGTACCAACAATACCACCAGTCCGATAACATTCTTCTTTGCAAATATACAGGGTCTAAAGCCAGGAACAAACAACAAAATACCTTTCATCCGTGGACTGCTTGCAGAGGCAAAGGCAATGTTCGCGGCTTTCACTGAGACCCACATAAAGGATCACTTGGACAACGAAATATGGATCTCAGGTTACAACCTATACAGATGTGACAGAGTGAACAGGCAAAAAGGGGGGGTTGGCCTGTACATTGCAGAGTCACTTGTTTGCACAGAACTGCTTAATGCCTCAAATGATGTAGTGGAAGTTTTAGCAGTAAAGGTCGAGAACCAAAACCTAGTCATTGTGGTAGTCTACAAGCCTCCGGATGCAACATCCCAGCAATTCCAATTGACCACTGTCTGGAAAATCTTCCAGCTCCTGCACCCAACATCTTGCTCCTGGGGGATTTCAACTTAAGGCACCTAAAAATGGAGGAATATAGCAAATAATATTGTTGCAGTAATAACACCAGGAGACAGCTCTGATGAAAACTCACACTCACACGAGCTTTTAAATCTCTGCACAAAATTCAATTTAAACCAGCAAATAATAGAGCCTACTAGACTGGAGAATACACTAGACCTCATCTTCACTAACAATGATGATCTGATAAGAAATGTCACCATATCAAAAACAATATACTCAGATCACAACATAATTGAGGTTCAGACATGTATGCGTGGAGCCCCAGACCGACATAATGAGACTAGTCACGAGGGAGCATTCACCAAATTCAACTTCAATAACAAAAACATAAAGTGGGACCAAGTAAACCAAGTCCTAACAGATATAAGCTGGGAAGATATACTAAGCAACACAGACCCCAACTTATGCCTAGAACAGATTAACTCGGTGGCACTCGATGTATGCACAAGGCTTATTCCTCTAAGGAAAAGGAGGAGTAGATGTAAAATAGAAAGAGACAGGCGCTCCCTTTACAGGCGACGGAAAAGAATAACAGAGCGGCTAAAAGAGGTCAATATATCTGAAATGCGTAGGGAGACACTGGTCAGAGAAATAGCAAGCATCGAACTTAAGCTAAAAGAATCCTTTAGGAGTCAGGAATCGCGGGAAGAACTAAAAGCTATAAATGAAATCGAAAGAAACCCAAAGTATTTCTTCTCCTATGCCAAATCAAAATCGAGAACAACATCCAGTATTGGGCCCTTACTTAAACAAGATGGGTCCTACACAGATGACAGCAAGGAAATGAGTGAGCTACTCAAGTCCCGATATGACTCAGTTTTTAGCAAGCCGCTAACCAGACTGAGAGTCGAAGATCAAAATGAATTTTTTATGAGAGAGCCACAAAATTTGATTAACACAAGCCTATCCGATGTTATCCTGACGCCAAATGACTTCGAACAGGCGATAAATGACATGCCCATGCACTCTGCCCCAGGGCCAGACTCATGGAACTCTGTGTTCATCAAGAACTGCAAGAAGCCCCTATCACAAGCCTTTTCCATCCTATGGAGAGGAAGCATGGACACGGGGGTCGTCCCACAGTTACTAAAAACAACAGACATAGCCCCACTCTACAAAGGGGTCAGTAAAGCAACAGCAAAGAACTACAGACCAATAGCACTAACATCCCATATCATAAAAATCTTTGAAAGGGTCCTAAGAAGCAAGATCACCACCCATCTAGAATCCCATCAGTTACACAACCCTGGGCAACATGGGTTTAGAACAGGTCGCTCCTGTCTGTCTCAACTATTGGATCACTATGACAAGGTCCTAAATGCACTAGAAGACAAAAAGAATGCAGATGTAATATATACAGACTTTGCAAAAGCCTTCGACAAGTGTGACCATGGCGTAATAGCGCACAAAATGCGTGCTAAAGGAATAACAGGAAAAGTCGGTCGATGGATCTATAATTTCCTCACTAACAGAACACAGAGAGTAGTCGTCAACAGAGTAAAGTCCGAGGCAGCTACGGTGAAAAGCTCTGTTCCACAAGGCACAGTACTCGCTCCCATCTTGTTCCTCATCCTCATATCCGACATAGACAAGGATGTCAGCCACAGCACCGTGTCTTCCTTTGCAGATGACACCTGAATCTGCATGACAGTGTCTTCCATTGCAGACACTGCAAGGCTCCAGGCGGACATCAACCAAATCTTTCAGTGGGCTGCAGAAAACAATATGAAGTTCAACGATGAGAAATTTCAATTACTCAGATATGGTAAACATGAGGAAATTAAATCTTTATCAGAGTACAAAACAAATTCTGGCCACAAAATAGAGCGATACACCAACGTCAAAGACCTGGGAGTGATCATGTCGGAGGATCTCACCTTCAAGGACCATAACATTGTATCAATCGCATCTGCTAGAAAAATGACAGGATGGATAATGAGAACCTTCAAAACTAGGGAGGCTAAGCCCATGATGACACTCTTCAGGTCACTTGTTCTATCTAGGCTGGAGTATTGCTGCACACTAGCAGCACCTTTCAAGGCAGGTGAAATTGCCGACCTAGAAAATGTACAGAGAACTTTCACGGCGCGCATAACGGAGATAAAACACCTCAATTACTGGGAGCGCTTGAGGTTCCTAAACCTGTATTCCCTGGAACGCAGGAGGGAGAGATACATGATTATATACACCTGGAAAATCCTAGAGGGACTAGTACAGAACTTGCACACGAAAATCACTCACTACGAAAGCAAAAGACTTGGCAGACGATGCACCATCCCCCCAATGAAAAGCAGGGGTGTCACTAGCACGTTAAGAGACCATACAATAAGTGTCAGGGGCCTGAGACTGTTCAACTGCCTCCCAGCACACATAAGGGGGATTACCAACAGACCCCTGGCAGTCTTCAAGCTGGCACTGGACAAGCACCTAAAGTCAGTTCCTGATCAGCCGGGCTGTGGCTCGTACGTTGGTTTGCGTGCAGCCAGCAGCAACAGCCTGGTTGATCAGGCTCTGATCCACCAGGAGGCCTGGTCACAGACCTGGGCTGCGGGGGCGTTGACCCCCGGAACTCTCTCCAGGTAAACTCCAGGAACGAATTACGTATGGCCAAAATTCGAGGTACCAGTGTATAGGTGGTTTTCATGTACTTAGCTGACAGTGTTTTTTAACAGTAGTTTTGAAAATGGTGGTTGAGTCTGCAGTTCTAGAGTTTTCAGGCAAGGAGTTCCAGATTTTAGGCCCTTTTACATACAATGAATTTTTGTATAGATTTAGCTGGACACGGGGAATGTCGTAGAGATTTTCATGTCTGGTATTGTGCTTATGAGCCCTGTCACAACTATCAAGAAAGCGTTTTAGTTCAGGGTTAATATTGGAATTTATGGTTCTGTAAATATAGGTTGCACAGTAGTAAGTGTGGATATTCTGCACAGTGATTAAGTTTAGGTCTTTGAAGAGGGGGGGTGTGTGTTGCCTAGTATTGGATTGCATGATACAGTAATTCTTACTGAGGCTTTTTGTCTGGTTATTATTGGCTTTAGGTAGGTTGCTTTGTCGATCCCCAAGCACAAATGGCATATGTGAGGTAGGGATAGATAAGTGAATAGTATAGTGTGAGCAGGGCAGATTGTGGTACGTAGTAATGTATCTTAGAGAGGATCCCAACCATTTTGGCTACTGTTAAAAAGCAAAGCACCTCCTAACGTTAATGCTATCTTGACAAAAAAAAATTACAGTGTGTCAAAAAAAAGCCTGTTTTCATCTAATTCTGTCCCTGTTGTTCCAACTTTTCATCAACTCCCATGTATTAGTAGATAGGCATTTACTATCTCATTATATTTTGTATTGTAAGTCAAGTAACTACTCCCACTCACACTGCTAAATTTGACAAGGATTTTTTTTGTGATTTTTATTTTAAATTAGTTGAGTAAATTTTAAGTTTAGTATAGGCTAAGTTTTGCTCAAGATGCTATGCATTTTCTGGGCCTTCAGTTTATTGCATGTCCTGTGGAGTAGTACTGAAATTTTGATCAGTAGTTGCATTTGTATTTGACCAACATTTGTAATAACTTCCACAAACATTAAAGCAAATTATTTTACTGAAACTTCCAACCGATTGTTTACAAAAATTCTGGTTATACTGCAGTTATAAGTTTATTTTAAGGCAGCTCGAAATGCTCTGAATAACCAGGTGATTTCTATAAAGTATGTCATTAGTGTTGCCTTTTTGGGATCAAGTGTAAACCATGTTTTGTAGAAACAAAGTTTATCATTTATCATATGAAATGGAAAAGTTATGTACAGTATGTAACTTCTTCAACAGTAAACATGGAAGGCCACACTGGAGCTGTTGGTTTTCTGCTATTGACGGCACCTAAAATATACCCAGTAGCTCTCCTCAAGATTGATAACAAGACCAAAGAAATTGTCAGAGGAGTCGATGGAATGTGCATCAAGTGTAAACCAGGTATCATGGAATTTTAACAGAATTACTGTATTTAATTAGTATTAACTTGTTGTATTAGAGGTTCTGTAGTATAAAAGTAATAATTTTAAGAAAACGGTTTTTATTAATTTGTTTTATTATTATTATTTTCACTATTATTATTGATATTTTCATTATTATTTTCATTGTTATTATTTTTTTAACACGCTAGCCATCTCTCACCGAGGCAGGGTGACCCATAAAAAAAAAAAAAACACTTTCACCATCATTGATACCGTCACTGCCTTTACAGATGCACACAGATACGACAGTTTAGATGTCACTCTAAACAGCAAATATCCTAAACCTTTAAAAGTCCAGTCATTGTACTTCCAATCTCCAGGACTCAAGTCTGGCTAACAGGTTTCCCTGAATCTCTTCACAAAATATTACCCTGCTCACACTCCAACAGCTCATTAGGTCCCAAAACTATTCTTCTCCATTCACTCTTATCTAACATGCTCACACATGCCTTCTTTATGTCCAAGCCCCTTACACACAAAACCTCTTTAACCCCCGACCCTCCTTCCATCCTTTCCTAGGACAAACCCTACCCATCCTCCCCTCCAATACAGATTTATACACCCTCCAAATCCTCCTATTTTCCTCCATCCTTTCTAAATGACCAAACCACCTCAACAACCTCTCCTCAGCTCTCTGAATAATACTTCTAGTAACTCCACATCACCTAATTTCCACACTACAAATTCTCTACATAATATTTATAAAATTGTATTATTTTTACCATTATTATTTTTTTTTTTTTACCCCAGTGGCCATCTCCCACACATTGATGATTTTTCATTCATTCAATGCCTTGCCAGGGGTATGCTGATATCACAACTCGGATTGCCCTTCAACTGCAGCAACTCGACCTACCCTTCAAAGTGCAGGCACACCCTTCCAACCTCCAGGAATCAAGTCTGGCTAACCGATTTTCCTGAATTCTTTATACCTTGCTCACACTAGCAACACATCCATTAAAATCCATTTGTCTTCATTCATTTCTTTCTGACATGCTTACACATGTCTGCTGGATGCTCAGGCCCCATCCACTCAAAACTTCTTTCATCCTCTCCTAACTCTTACTGGAATGTCATCTACTCTTTCCAGTCACTCCAGATTTATATGCCTCTGTTAATTTATCTTTTCTGTTATAAATAGTAATGTTTTTATTGCTATTATTCTGTTATTACTAGTATTATCATCATCATCATTCCAGTTTGAAGACTACAGTATTGTTTTGCTGCCTTCAGATTTTTTACCATTCTATTTCCAGATGATAATAGATCATCATTTTGCCCGGTATATTGCCGGGTACACATACACACTTGCATTTCCCTTCTCGGAGTTGATAGATTCGAACCTTAAGCATTAACACTAATATACATTTTAGGAATTTGGGAAAGTACAATGCCTGCACTTTAAAGGAGGGGTTTGGGATATTGACAGTTTGGAGGGGTATGTTATATATATCTTTTTTTTTTTTTTTTTAACAAGTCGGCTGTCTCCCACCGAGGCAGGGTGACCCAAAAAAAGAAAGAAAATCCCCAAAAAGAAAATACTTTCATCATCATTCAACACTTTCACCACACTCACACATTATCACTGTTTTTGCACAGGTGCTCAGAATACAACAGTTTAGAAGCATATACGTATAAAGATACACAACATATCCCTCCAAACTGCCAATATCCCAAACCCCTCTTTAAAGTGCAGGCATTGTTTCTCCATTCCAGGACTCAAGTCCGACTATATGAAAATAACCGGTTTCCCTGAATCCCTTCACTAAATTTACCCTGCTCACACTAACAGATCGTCAGGGGCCCAAGTATCATTCGTCTCCATTCACTCCTATCTTAACAGCTCATGCACGCTTGCTGGAAGTCCAAGCCCCTCGCCCACAAAACCTCCCCTTTTCCCCCTCTTTCCAACCCTTTCGAGGACGACCCCTACCCCTCCTTCCTTCCCCTATAGATTTTTTATGCTTTCCATGTCATTTTACTTTGATCCATTCTCTCTAAATGACCAAACCACCTCAACAACCCCTCTTCTGCCCTCTGACTAATGTTTTATTAACTCCACACCTTCTCCTAATTTCCACACTTCGAATTTTCTGCATAAAATTTACACCACACATTGCCCTTAGGGCAGGACATCTCCACTGCCTCCAACCGTCTCCTCGCTGCTGCATTTACCACCCAAGCTTCACAACCTATAAAGTGTTGGTACTACTATACTTTCATACATTCCCTTCTTAGCCTCCATAGATAACGTTTTTTGACTCCACATATACCTCAACGCACCACTCACCTTTTTTCCCTCATCAATTCTATGATTAACCTCATCCTTCATAAATCCATCCGCCGACACGTCAACTCCCAAGTATCTAAAAACATTCACTTCTTCCATGCTCCTCCTCCCCAATTTGATATCCAATTTTTCTTTATTTAAATCATTTGATACCCTCATCACCTTACTCTTTTCTATGTTCACTTTCAACTTTCTACCTTTACACACATTCTCAAACTCATCCACTAACCTTTGCAATTTTTCTTTAGAATCTCCCATAAGCACAGTATCATCAGCAAAAAGTAACTGTGTCAATTCCCATTTTGAATTTGATTCCCCATATTTTAACCCCACCCCTCTTCCGAACACCCTAGCATTTACTTCTTTTACAACCCCATCTATAAATATATTAAACAACCATGGTGACATTACACATCCCTGTCTAAGACCTACTTTTACCGGGAAGTATTTTCCCTCTCTTCTACACACCCTAACCTGAGCCTCACTATCCTCATAAAAACCCTTAACAGCATTTAGTAACTTACCACCTATTCCACATACTTGCAACATTTGCCACATTGCTCCTCTATCCACTCTATCATATGCCTTTTCTAAATCCATAAATGCAATAAAAACTTCCCTACCTTTATCTAAATACTGTTCACATATATGCTTCAATGTAAACACTTGATCTACATATCCCCTACCCACTCTGAAGCCTCCCTGCTCATCTGCAATCCTACATTCTGTCTTACCTCTAATTCTTTCAATTATAACCCTACCGTATACTTTTCCTGGTATACTCAGTAAACTTATTCCTCTATAATTTTTACATTCTCTTTTGTCCCCTTTCCCTTTATATAAAGGGACTATACATGCTCTCCGCCAATCCCTAGGTACCTTCCCCTCTTTCATACATTTATTAAACAAAAGTACCAACCACTCCAACACTATATCCCCCCCTGCTTTTAACATTTCTGTCATGATCCCATCAGTTCCAGCTGCTTTACCCCCTTTCATTCTACGTAATGCCTCACGTACCTCCACCACACTTACATTCTGCTCTTCTTCACTCCTAAAAGATGGTATACCTCCCTGGCCAGTGCATGAAATTACCGCCTCCCTTTCTTCCTCAACATTTAAAAGTTCCTCAAAATATTCTCGCCATCTACCTAATGCCTCCCTTTCCCCATCTACTAATTCCCCTACTCTGTTTTTAACTGACAAATCCATACTTTCCCTAGGCTTTCTTAATTTGTTTAACTCACTCCAAAATTTTTTCTTATTTTCATTAAAATTTCTTGACAGTGCCTCTCCCACTCTGTCATCTGCTCTCCTTTTGCACTCTCTCACCACTCTCTTCACCTTTCTTTTACTCTTCATATACTCTGCTCTTTTTTATATATGCTTCTAAACTGTTGCATCTGGGTGCCTCTGCAAAGACATTGATTATGTGTGAGTGAGGTGAAAGTGTTGAATGATGGTGAAAATATTTTCTTTTTGGGGATTTTCTTTCATTTTGAGTCACTGCCTCTGTGGGAGACAGCTGACTTGTTGAAAAAAAAAATTTTTTTGATTCAAAAACAAAATGCACATTCCTTTAGTATAATTTAATATGCACTGTTGTTACTAGATAACAGAGTATCCTGGTAAGTAATTTGACTAATTAGTCATTTTTAATCAAGCTAGGTGTGCATATGCCTTAGTACCAGGCATTATGGAAAGTAGTCTTAGTTAATTCACATTTTTCTTGTTGACAATTTGTGGGAACCAATCATATTTTTATGTTGTATAGAAGGGTGGTGTTTGTTATAGGTTTGTGACCAAGCTTATTAATAATATTTTCACCATTTAGGTTAGAATTTGATGCACATAATTTGTGAATATGTAGTTTCTGTCCTATATTTTGAGTTCTGTAGTTCATTATGGCAGTTTGGGAACATACTTTTAATGACAGAGTTAGAGACTTTCATTTAATTTTTAGGGTACCCTAATATTAATTCTGACCTAAGCTGTTTCATGATTGGCACTTGTGTTAGGAACAAAGAAGCCTGTGCAAAACAGTGTAGATACTGTGTTATAAAGCTTCATAGACCCATGTTGACAGATTTACAATATTATGTGCTGTTTATTTTTATCAGTATCTCAACAGTGCTTAAATTAGTATAATTAACCTTTAATGCAAACGCACCTTAGGTTTCTGAAGTACTGTGTAATGATTCTGGGTTTCTATCTCAGCTTTAACAAAAATATTCAGCAGGAATCTACACTGACTCTCAGAACAATGCTTCTTAATATTTAGATGTCTTATATAACAGATTTGGCACTAATTAAATGTTCATCTAAACTTAAGCCTCAACCAATTGCTTTAAACTACAACTGCAAATGCATTATATTAATATAATTTTTATCTTGACCTATAGCACTGTTCTGCATGAGAGGTTTGTAGGGATTATTAGATTAGGCATCATTAACATGTCAAAAATAGTTAACATAAATATGTAATATATTTATAGATGGGGTTGTAAGAGAAGTAAATGCGAGGGTCTTGGCAAGAGGCGTGGAGTTAAAAGATAAAGAATCACACACAAAGTGGGAGTTGTCACAGCTGCTCTTTGCTGATGACACTGCTCTTGGGAGATTTAAAGAGAAGTTGCGAGATTGGTGGATAAATTTTGGGTTTAGGGTGGAAAAAGAAAAAAATTTAAAGGTGAATACGGAAAGAAAAGGGTTAGGGGAAAACAAAAAGATTAGGTGATGAAAGATTGAATATCAATTGGGGGGAGAGAGTATGGAGGAGGTAAAACTATTCAATTTTGGGAGGGAGTGCAGGGGAGGGGTCTATGAAAGATGGGGTTAAATCATAGAATTGATGAGGGAAAAAGAGTGAGTGGTGCACTTGGGAGTCGGGTGGAGACAAAGAACTTGTCCTTGAGGCAAAGAGGGAATGTAGGAGTATAGTTTTACCAACGTTTTATAGGGGGTGTGAAGCAGGGGTGAGAATGTTGCAGCGAGGAAAGGCTGGAGCAGGGGAATGTCATGTCTGGGGCAAGTGTGGGGGGGAATTTTAAATGCAGAGAATTCGTGTTTTGGAAGTTGGGAGGAGGGGGGGGGGATTAAAAAAACTGTTGCCAGGGGCTGGGGAAGGGTTTTGAGGTGGTTCGGACATTAGAGAGAATGGAGCGAAACAGAATGCTTCAGAGTGTATCGTCTGTAGTAAGAAGGCGGGGTAGGGGTCGGCCTAGAAGGGTTGGAGGGAGGGGTAAAGGAGGTTTTGGTGCGAGGGGCTTGGATTTCCCAGCGGGCATGCGGAGCGTTTTTGATAGGAGTAAAATGAGACAAATGGTTTTTAATACTTGACGGCTTTTGGGAGTGTGAGAAAAGTAACATTTTTAAAAGGGATTGGGGGAAAACCCGGCGGCCGACTTGAGTCCTGGAGATGGGAAGTACAGTGCCTGCACTCTGAAGGGGGGGTGTTAATGTTGCATTTTAAAAAACGTAGTGAAAAGCACCCTTCGGAAAGACAGTGATGGAGTAAATGATGGGGAAATTTTTTCTTTTGGGGCCCCACCCTGCCGGGGGGAACGCCGGGTTGATAAAAAAAAAAAAAAAAAAAAAAAATATGTAAAGGTATGTGTGTAAAGGTAGAAAGTGAAAGTGAAATAGAAAAATAAGGTGATAGAGTATCAAATGATTAGATAAAGAAAAATTGGATATCAAAATTTGGGGGGGGAGTAGGGAAAAAGGAATGTTTTTTGATATTTTGGGAGTTGACGTGTCACCGGTGGATTTATGAAGGATCAGGTTATCATAGAATTGATGGGGGGAAAAAAAGGTGGTGGGGCATGAGGTTTGTGGGACAAAAAACTTTTCTAGGGGGCAAAGAAGGAATGTATGAAAGATAGTAAATACCAACACTCTTTTATGGTTGAAACTTTGGGTTTTGTGAATGCAGCAGTGAGGAGGCGGTTGGAGGACAGTGGAGATGGTCCTGTCTATGGGCAATGTGTGTGTAAATATTATGCAGAAAAATTCGGAGTGTGGAAATTAGGAGAAGGTGTGGGTTAATAAAAGTATTAGTCAGAGGGCTGAAGAGTGGGTTGATTGAGGTGGTTTGGTCATTTAGAGGAGAATGGATCAAAGTAGAATGACATGGAGAGCGTTTATAAAATCTGTTAGGGGGAAGGAAGTCGGGGTTAGGGGCGTCCTCGAAAGGTTGGAGGGGGGGGGTTAAAGAAAGGTTTTTGTACGCGAGGGCTTGGACTTCGCATGCATGCATGAGCCGTGTTAGGGTGAATGGAGACGAATGGTATTTGGGACCTGACAATCTGTTGGAGTGGTGAGCAGGGTAATATTTAAATGAAGGGATTCAGGAAACCGGTTATTTTCATATACTGTAGTTGGACATGAGTCTGGTAAAATGCTGAAGTTACAATTTTTATTTTGGGGGGGGGGGCCCCTTGCCCACTTTAAAGGGAGGGGATTGGGATATTGGCAGTTTGGAGGTGAATATGTTGTGTTATGTATCTTTATATGTGTATGCTTCTAAACTGTAGTAATTTGAGCACCTCTGCAAAAAACAGATGATAATGTGCGATGTGTGGTGAAAGTGTTTTGAAATGATGATGAAAGTATTTTCTTTTTGGAGATTGTCTTCTTTTTTGGGTCACCCTGCCTCGGTGGGGACGGCCCCCCGACTTGTTGAAAAAAAAAAAAAAACTAAATTCAGGGAAACGGTCTATTTTTATTATAGCCGGACTTGGAGTCTAGGAAATGGGAAGTACAATGCCTGGCCACTTTAAAGGAGGGGTTCGGGATATTAGCAGTTTGGAGGGATATGTTGTGTATCTTTATAGGTATATGCTTCTAAGCTGTTGTGTTCTGAGCACCTCTGCAAAAACAGTGATTGTGTGTGAGTGAGGTGGAAGTGTTGAATGATGATGATGAAAGTATTTTCTTTTTGGGGATTTTCTTTCATTTTTGGGTCACCCTGCCTCGGTGGGAGACGGCCGACTTGATATAAAAAAAAAAAAGTTACGCACTAATGATCTTTATATAGTAGTAATCGGCAGTATGCATGTTTATTTTTTTTTAGCTACAAGAGCAAAACAAAGTTCATGTATCTTGTCTTCAGCATTTAATCTACTGTATCCTTAAGTTTTTCAATTTTTCAGTGGTTATAGCACTTGTTAAGCATTCCATTGTTCTACCACTTTTTTTTTATATAAAGAAAAAGTCTAGGTAGCTTTTATTCCTTATTGCAGTTTATAGGTATGGCCTCCTGTTATGCCATTGCACTTTGACAGTTTTGGGAGCAATACCAATATATCAAGTTTTAATTTTTTATCATTATTTTAATGCTCAGAAATAGGTATCTAGAATTTAAAAAAGTTAACCCATCATAGCTACAGAAGTTCTTAGCACATGATTTGGCTTCCTTAGGTGAGCCTGGAGAAATCATTGGAATGATCAAGAAAAATTCATTCAGTAATTTCGATGGATATGTAGATGCAGAGGCAACACAACAAAAGATTATAAACGATGTTTTCAAGAAGGGAGACTTTGCATATGTATCAGGTAAAATTAATTTATATGTACTTTTTTCTCAATGACTGTCTCCTACCAAGGCAGGGTGACCCCAAAGAAGAGAATACATGTACTTGTACATTATTATTTGTATTTTTCAGATTAAAGTAAGCCTCCCCCCCCCAGACACAAAAAAAAAACATTCATTATATGTGCCCTAACTGTCTTTCCAGAAGTGCATACCTTTGATATACCTTTGAAGAGTTTTGAGAGTTTCTCTACTCTTGTCTGGTGCTTGCCTGGTCAACCAGGCTGTTGCTGCTGGAGGCCCGCTGCCCCACATATCCATCACAGCCTGGTTGATCTCGCACCTCGTGAAGATACTTGTCCAGTTTCCTCTTGAAAGCTTCTACACTTGTCCCAGCTGTGTTTCTGATATCTTCTGGTAAGATGTTGAATAGTCTGGGACTCCAGATGTTGATAAAGTGTTCCCTTATTGTCCCCACCACACTCCTGCTCCTCACTGGGTTTATTTTACACTTCCTCCCATATCACTCACTCAAGTATGTTGTTATGGCAGTGTGCAGATTTGGGACCAGGCCCTCGAGTACTTTCCAGGTATATATTATCATGTATCTCTCTCCTCCGCTCCAGTGAGTACATGTTCAAGAGTTGAAGGTGTTCCCAGTAGTTTAGGTGCTTTACTGGCTCAGTGCAAGCCGTAAACGATCTCTGTATTTGTTCCAGCTCTGATATTTCTCCTGTTTTGAACGGGGCCGTCAGCACTGAGCAATATTTTAAGTGAGGGAGCACTTGTGATTTGAAGAGTGTCACCATTGGCATTACAGTGGACCCCCGCATAACGATTACCTCCGAATGCGACCAATTATGTAAGTGTATTTATGTAAGTGCGTTTGTACGTGTATGTTTGGGGGTCTGAAATGGACTAATCTACTTCACAATATTCCTTATGGGAACAAATTCGGTCAGTACTGGCACCTGAACATACTTCTGGAGTGAAAAAATATCGTTAACCGGGGGTCCACTGTATTTCCCTTGTTTTGAAAGTTCTCAATATGTACAATTGCTATGGATCCCATCACACATTGGATTACTCCTTCATGATAAAGTTGATATGTTAGCCAAGAAGAGTACCCAGAAGGAGAATGTAGAATATAACTTTGGTATAACTTTAATTCAATTCAAAGTTTATTCTCTATAAAGATTACAATGTTGAATTTACAGAATTTGGTTGTTGTGTGGTTTACATGTAGTTAAATAATGATTACAGAGTGTACCACTAGAACGCCTAGCATGGCTAGGCATTTCGGGCAGACTTAGTTTAATTCTTTGTTTTAAAATATTACAAATTATGAGGTAAGTTGGTATTATGGCTAAGTGACTAAATACTAGTTTGTGAGTTTAGCAATGTGAATGCTTTTGTTTTGGCACAGTACATAGTTTCAGTATTGGAGTATCATAGGATTCATTATTTTAAGATTAAGATTAATATTTCTGTTTATGGTCAAATGGGTGAGTGAGTGTAAGTGTGAACCACCAGGTGGTATTCGTGTAGTTAGTTGATGGGGTGTATCAGGGAGATAAGATGTTTTCTAATGGTAGTTTTGAAGGTGATGAATGTGTCTGCAGTTCTAGAGTTCTCAGGTAGGGTGTTCCAGATTTTAGGGCCTTTGACATACATTGAATTTTTGTAAAGGTTTAGTCGGACACGGGGAATGTCGTAGAGATGTTTGTGTCTGGTGTTATGCCTGTGGGTTCTGTCACAACTATCAAGAAAGCATTTTAGGTCAAGGTTGATATTGGAGTTTAAGGTCCTGTAGATGTAGATTGCACAGTAGTAAGTGTGGATGTACTGAACAGGGAGTAAGTTTAGATTTATGAAGAGTGGGGGGTGTGTTGCCAGGGATGGGATTTAGTGATTATTCTTACTGCAGCTTTTTGTTGGGTTATTATTGGCTTTAGGTGTGTTGCTGCAGTTGATCCCCAAGCACAAATAGCATAGGTGAGGTATGGATAAATAAGTGAGTGGTATAGTGTGAGAAGGGCATTTTGCGGCACGTAGTATCGTATCTTAGAGAGGATCCCAACCGTTTTGGATACTTTTTTGGTTATGTGTTGGATATGGGTGCTGAAATTCAGGTTGTTGTCAAGGTATAGGCCTACGAATTTGCCCTCATTATGTCTGGTAATTAGAGTGTTGTCGATCTTAATGTTAATTTGTGCATCTCCTGCTCTGCTACCAAACATAATATAGTAGGTTTTGTCAGTGTTAAGCGTAAGTTTATTGGCTGTCATCCAAGTCGATATTTTGATCAGCTCCTCGTTAACAATGGGGTTGAGGGTGGCAAGATTAGGGTGAGAGATGACATAAGTCGTGTCGTCAGCAAAGAGAATGGGTTTCAGGTGTTGGGATACGTTTGGAAGATCATTGATGTATATGAGGAAGAGCAGGGGACCAAGGACACTTCCCTGCGGAATTCCAGTATCAAGTGGCCGTGTTGTTGATGCTGTGTCTTTAATGGTGACATACTGATACTTATTAGTAAGGTAAGATTTGAAATAAGCAAGCGCATGGCCTCTTATACCGTAATGGTCAAGTTTGATTAGTAGGATGTCGTGGTCTACTGTGTCAAAAGCTTTTCTTAGGTCAGTAAAAATTCCTAGTGGATATTCCTTATTTTCCAATGCTGTGTAAAGCAGATCTAGCATTTTTATGATTGCATCATTAGTGCTTTTATTTTTCCTGAATCCAAATTGGCAGGGGTTGAGTATGTTGTGTTGTTATAAATGAATATAGTCTCCTGTGCACGAGTTTCTCGAAGATTTTGGATAGCAATGGTAAGTTTGATATTGGCCTATAGTTGTTTAAGTCTGTAGGGTCACCACCTTTATGTATTGGTGTAACCCTTGCCATCTTGAGTAGTTTCGGGAAGGTGCTAGTTTCTAGTGACTTGTTAAAAAGTAATGAAATAGCATGCAAAAGGATATGGGCCGCTCGCTTGTACAGTAATGGTGGGACATTAGACAGATTCCCTGAGTTGTTTTTAAGTGACTTTATAATCTCGGTGACTTCCGAGGGCTCAGTTGGTGCAAGATAGAAGGAATTTGGGAAATTCCCATCTAGGTAGTCCCCGGCATAGGCATTGGTATGTGGGATTTTATTGGCGAGATTAGATCCTATTTTATTTAGTAATTTTAGCATACATACAGAGGTACAAAAAAATATAGGTAAGAGCAGCATGCCAAAGCCACTTATATGCATAGCATTACGGGCTGGCTTAAAATTAACTAAGCAATGATGAAATCAGTGATAAAACATTATTGTAAACAGATAACTATAAAGCACAAATGAGTATTACAAAGACAGGTCATATGGCTGCCTCATTGTGAAGTCTGAAGGTGACTTTAGTAGTGTCTTGGGGTATTTTACCAAGAGTTGTTATGAGGAAAGTAGGGTAGTGGTCTGTGGTGGTATTATCTGTAATTATGCCTGATTTTAAAGGGGATATGGTGTTGGTCCAGATGTGGTCAAGTAGGGAAACACTAGTCTCCGTAACTCTTGTAGGTTTTGTTACTGTTGGTAGCAACATGCAGTTACTCATTGTGTTTGTGAATTCAGTTACGTGTGGGTCCTGGTCTTGCAGGAGATTTATATAGGGTTACACCAATACATAAAGGTGGTGACCCTACAGACTTAAACAACTATAGGCCAATATCTAACTTACCATTGCTATCCAAAATCTTTGAGAAACTCGTGCACAGGAGACTGTATTCATTTATAACGGCTCAAAACATACTCAACCCCTGCCAGTTTGGATTCAGGAAAAATAAAAGCACTAATGATGCAATCATAAAAATGCTAGATCTGCTTTACACAGCATTGGAAAATAAGGAATATCCACTAGGAATTTTTATTGACCTAAGAAAAGCTTTTGACACAGTAAACCACGAAATCCTACTCCACAAACTTGACCACTACGGTATAAGAGGCCATGCGCTTGCTTATTTCAAATCTTACATTACTAATAGGTATCAGTACGTCACCATTAAAGACACAGCATCAGCAACACGGCCACTTGATACTGGAGTTCCGCAGGGAAGTGTCCTTGGTCCCCTGCTCTTCCTCATATACATCAATGACCTTCCAAACGTATCCCAACACCTGAAACCCATTCTCTTTGCTGATGACACGACTTATGTCATCTCTCACCCTAATCTTGCCACCCTCAACACCATTGTGAATGAGGAGCTGATTAAAATATCGACTTGGATGACAGCCAATAAACTTACGCTTAACACTGACAAAACTTACTATATTATGTTTGGTAGCAGAGCAGGAGATGCACAAATTAACATTAAGATTGACAACATTCTAATTACCAGAAATAATGGGGGAAAATTCCTAGGCTTATACCTTGACAACAACCTGAATTTCAGCACCCATATCCAGCATATAGCCAAAAAAGTATCCAAAACGGTTGGGATCCTCTCCAAGATACGATACTACGTGCCGCAAAATGCCCTTCTCACACTATACCATTCACTTATATATCCATACCTCACCTATGCTATCTGTGCTTGGGGTTCAACTGCAGCAACACACCTAATGCCAATAATAACCCAACAAAAAGCCGCAGTAAGAATAATCACTAAATCCCATCCCTGGCAACACACCCCCCCACTCTTCATAGATCTAAACTTACTCCCTGTTCAGTACATCCACACTTACTACTGTGCAATCTACATCTACAGGACCTTAAATTCCAATATTAACCTTGACCTAAAACGCTTTCTTGATAGTTGTGACAGAACCCACAGGCACAACACCAGACACAAACATCTCTATGACATTCCCCGTGTCCGACTAAACCTTTACAAAAATTCAATGTATGTCAAAGGCCCTAAAATCTGGAACACCCTACCTGAAAATTCCAAAACTGCAGACACATTCATCACCTTCAAAACTACCATCAGAAAACATCTTATCTCCCTGATACACCCTGTCAACTAATAATACGAATACCACCTGGTGGTTCACACTTACACTCACTCACCCATTTGACCATAAACAGAAATATCAATCTCAATCTCAAAATAATGAATCTTAACTAGTCAAAAGTTGGCCTGTGATACTCCAATACTGAAACTATGTATAGTGCCAAAACAAAAGCATTCACATTGCTAAACTCACAACTAGTATTTAGTCACTTAGCCGTAATACCAACTTATCTCAATTTTGTAACATTTTAAACCTAAGATTTAATATAAGTCTGCCCGAAATGCCTAGCCATGCTAGGCGTTCTAGTGGTACACTATGTAATTATTATTTTACTACATGTAAACCACACAATAACCAAATTCTGTAAACTCAGCATTGTAATACTTATAGAGAATAAAGTTTGAATTTGAATTTGACTAATACTTTTATTAACTCCACACCTTTTCCTAATTTCCACACTCCGAATTTTCTGCATAATATTTACATCACACATTGCCCTTAAACAGGACATCTCCACTGCCTCCAACCGTCTCCTCGCTGCTGCATTTACCACCCAAGCTTCACACCCATATAAGAGTGTTGGTACTACTATACTTTCATACATTCCCTTCTTTGCCTCCATAGATAACGTTTTTTGACTCCACATATACCTCAACGCACCACTCACCTTTTTTCCCTCATCAATTCTATGATTAACCTCATCCTTCATAAATCCATCCGCCGACACTTCAACTCCCAAGAATCTGAAAACATTCACTTCTTCCATACTCCTCCTCCCCAATTTGATATCCAATTTTTCTTTATCTAAATCATTTGACACCCTCATCACCTTACTCTTTTCTATGTTCACTTTCAACTTTCTACCTTTACACACATTCTCAAACTCATCCACTAACCTTTGCAATTTTTCTTTAGAATCTCCCATAAGCACAGTATCATCAGCAAAAAGTAACTGTGTCAGTTCCCATTTTGAATTTGATTCCCCAAAATTTAATCCCACCCCTCTCCCGAACACCCTAGCATTTACTTCCTTTACAACCCAATCTATAAATATATTAAACAACCATGGTGACATTACACATCCCTGTCTAAGACCTACTTTTACCAGTAAGTAGTCTCCCTCTCTTCCACACACCCTAACCTGAGCCTCACTATCCTCATAAAAACTCTTTACAGCATTTAATAACTTACCACCTATTCCATATACTTGCAACATCTGCCACATTGCTCCTCTATCCACTCTATCATATGCCTTTTCTAAATCCATAAATGCAATAAAAACTATGTAGATATAAATCCATATGTATTCCTGTTTACCCTTTGGGGCCTAGTTCCTAGGCCTTTTGTGTATCCATATGCTCTCGCACTACTGTCCACAGGATGGATATGGGGTGCACAATAAACTAGCCACTTCGGTGGCAAAGTTTAATCTCTAATCAATACCCACCCTGTCATCTTCCTGGCTGTTGTGATCTTTGTCTTGTTATGGTCTTGAAAAGAAAGATCAGGTGACATAATTATTCCCAGGTTTTTTATGTGTTCTTTACATTGTTTCGTGACCCTCTTGAGTTTTGTATATACATAGTAGTCCTTTCGAGTTCTTCATTCTTTTCGTACCTAAACAGTTGGAACCATGTAATGTTCCTTCAAACTGAAATCATCCCAACCTGTCCTTTACAGTGCAGACACTGTGGGATACTTTCTCATCTTAAAGAATTTTGAGTCTGGCTGATACCCCAGAATTCATACAGATGTGACTATGTTCATGCTCTAACAGCATGTCACATCCTAAATGCCACTGTCTCCACTTCTGTTTAACATGTTCACATATGCCTCCTAGGGCACAAGCCCCTACCTCTTAAAATCCCCTTCATGTGTATCTTCTGTACTTCCTTTCGTCCACCCAAAGATTATACATCCTCTTAATTTATCTCACTCCATTTTTCACCATGTCCATAACATCCCATCAACCCCTCTTTTGTTCTTGAAAATGGAAATTAATTTTAACTCCAAATAGAGCTTACAAAAATTACTAAAATAATTGCTATTTTTAAAGCCACTAATTATACAGTGTATTTTGGGCATGCTACAACTTTGATTTATCAGCAGAATCTAGAATTAAGGAAGGAGAGAAGAAACCAGACATAGGTAAGGGTTTCCTTGCCAGAAATTTAATATTATTACATCAGTGTATGTAGAGATAGACAAAACTGGCAGTCAGTTTTGGGAAAAATTGAAAGGTGGTGAGAATAACACATGAGCATGGATGTTTGTTGCAATAGGTAACATTGGGTTAAAATACGTAATAGAGGAATTAATCATTTATCATCATTCAGAGCAAATCACAAGAGGTTTAGGAGGTATTTTATAATAAGACTTTTAAATCAGTTTGGTCATTTAGAGAGGATGGGGCAAAGTAGAATGTATCAATCTATAGTAGAGGGAAGGCAGGATAGAGGTTATCCTGGGAAAGGATGGAGGGAGGGGGTATAAAGGAGGTTTTGTGTTCAAGGGGCTTGGACATACAGCAGGCATGTTAGGAGTGTTTAGAGACAAATGGTTTTTGGGACTTAATGAGCTGTAGGAATGTGAGCAGGGTAATATTTTGTGAAGGGATTTAGGGAAACTGATTACCTGGACTCGAGTCCTGGAGGTGGGAAGTACGGTGCCTGCACTCTAAAGGAGTGGTTTGGGATATTTGCTGTTTAGAGGGACATCTAAATTGTCATATCTGCACACCTCTGGCAGTACAGTGACAGTGTAAATGAAGATGAAAGTTTTTCTTTTCGGGTCATCCTACCTCATTGGGAGACAGCCAGTGTGTTAAAAAACTGAAGTAGGATCTACATTGCTTCTCTCATGGTAATGTTTCTATGAATGATCTCTTACATGCTTATTCACTTTCCAAAAATGTTTCTTCTAGGTGATATTCTAGTGATGGACAAAAGAGGGTACGTTTACTTTGTAGACAGAACAGGAGACACTTTTCGATGGAAGGGTGAAAATGTTTCAACTATGGAAGTGGAAGATATTATCTACACAGTTACTGGCCATAATGATGTTGCAGTATATGGAGTTCAGGTGAGTTTGGGATGGTGCATACTGTGTTACTATTATGTCACTTTGTGTACGTGAATACTGCAAATTCTAAGCAAACAGTGGAAATTCTGTTTCATGCACTCTAAAATTGTGTAAAATTCTTTCTTTGCACCTGGTATGAAATTTTTTGCATTGCTGTCGAAGTATTTGAACATGGTAAAAAGTTGCTTAGTTTGTGTTCATCAGTTTGATGCACATGGTCAAAAATCCTCATTTTCTTCATTGATGATGAAGGCAGAGGAGGGGGTGTAGGAACTGGCAAACAAGGCTGACTGGGTGGTGTGACCATTGAAAAAGATGGAGGAAAGAGTGGGGGACACTAAGTTTGTGGGATCATGTGGAAGCAGAAATATATTGCTTGACCTTATACTGGATTTTTTTCCCCAGTCATTTACAAATTCTAGTGTGTTGTATGTTTTCTAGGTCTACATTTCTGTGAGAATATCCTCTCACTTTATTCCTTTTTATGCATCTGTTTGCAGTATTTGTGGTTAAGTTATATTAACCTAACCTAATTAAGTTCACCTAAGAGGGGAGGAGTAGATCATGCTGTAACAGCAGATGAATGAAGGCAAAGAAATTGAACCTGCCCTGCACTAAAATACATTAGAAAACAATGAATGGTATTTTTACTTACATTACATATAGACATGCAGGGAAAATTATCCTACTTATCAGCCAAGAGTGAAGTTGCCAATGATCGTTTTTCAGATTCCTGGATATGAGGGTCGTTGTGGCATGGCAGCCATCTTGGATCAAGAAAAATCACTTGATCTGGTAGACTTATATGCTGCACTTCAAATGTCACTTCCAGTCTATGCCCGCCCTCTGTTTATCAGGGTGGTTAAGCATTTGAAGAAGACTGGTTAGTACAGTACCTTTGTTGGCTGCAGGTATGCATGATGTACAGTGGTACCTTGAGTTACAAACTTAATTCGTTCCAGAAGGCTGTTCGAGTGCCGATGCCGAACAAATTTGTTCCCATAAGGAATAATGTAAATTAGATTAGTCCGTTTCAGACCCCCAAAAATACACCTACAAAAGCACTTACAAATATACACTTACATAATACACACACACACACACACAGTTAGTTTAATATCTTTATTATGCACCCCATACCCATCCTGTAATCTTTTGACTACCACCCACAGGATGGGTATGGGGTGCATAATAAAGATATTAAACTAACTAAAACTAACTGTGTGTGTGTGTGTGTGTATTGTGAGTGTGTGTGTGTGACTCAACAATCAATATTTGCACCAATAACTCATTACAGTTGTGACCAGGTGTGGAAGTGTGAATTGCTCATTACTCTATAATTTGTTCATGATTGTAGCCATGTATAAACGTAAGTAACCATTCTTACAGGATTCATTACCTTCGTAACTTGTGAGTTCATTACCTTTGTAAATTGTGAGTTCATTACCTCTGTAACTTGCTCAGCTATCAAAACTTTGGAGTCCAGTCCCTGGACCAATTATGTACCTCTGTAATCTTTTGACTACCACCCACAGGATGGGTATGGGGTGCATAATAAACATATTAAACTAACTAATTGTTCAATTTAATTTAATTGTTCGATTGGGGATTTTCTTTTTCTTTGGGTCACCCTGCCTCGGTGGGAGACGGCCGACTTGTTAAAAAAAAAAATACTTGTTCGAGTTGGGAGCTGTTCGAAACTTGTATTTAGTTGCTTTTTGACTGAATTAGTTTAAGTATCTGTTAGGTAAGATACACCAATGTTGAGAGTTTGAATCCATTCCCAAGTTACCACAAGGGAAATAACAGCACCTAATTTTTTAATAAAGGTGGCTAATTGGCCATATCACCTCACTCATTACTCCCATACCTTCTTTTCTTTTTTTCAGATACCTTCAAGATAGAGAAATACACTCTTCAAGAAGAAGGCTATAATCCCAGTATTGTCAGTGGCCGGCTATACTTCATGGACCAAAGTGATGGAGCTTATGTTCCACTTACAGTTAGTCTTTACAGTAAGATAGTAAATCATGAGGTAAGGGTATAGGTTGTAGAGAAAATACAAATAGAGATGAGTGAAGAGGTGGGGTAATAGTTTGTAAAGGCAATGTAATTGAAATGCTACTGTATCATGAAAGCATTTTTCTCTTTCTTTTATCACCTTATATTTTTCAGGAGAGTATATACCAGTTTAATTTTATGCATAGAAAATACATGTACTAGGTAATATATAACTAAATATTGTACATACATCTAATTTCTGAACATCTGAGATTCATTTGTGCTGCCTTATAACACTCTTTAGTTGTCTTGTTTTTATAATATTGACTATCTTATACACATGTTAACTGCCTTATACAATTTTGTAATATGAAGATGACTCATCAAAATGTTTCTAGAGAATAATAATACACATTTATTAGTGGTACTTTTTGTGCAATAATGGATTTTTGTTACATGGCATATCATAGTGTAATATTTCTTTAAATGTTGACACTTTAGCTCATAAAAATTTTATTTTCTGGAAATGTTTATTTTCCTGAGGATATTATTGATAACTTATTTATACGAGGATATTTTATTACATAACCAACATGACATTCAGGCTTAGTACAGTTAGCCTATGAATAATGTTTAAAGAAAAAACACTCACAGTATATGTATATAAAAATCTTGCCTATTTTAGTGGGATCATGTATTTATGATGCCTTTATTTCCAGTGTAAAAGTGTTAGAGTTCTGACTTTCTACATTTTCAATAAAAATCTGAATTCAATATGACTATTATTTATACTGATGGAGTCTTCTAATTTTTTCACTTTCTATTTTTTTACATGATATTCACATCCTTATTGACAATAGAACAGACATTGCCACTACCTCCATTCTCTTTGCTGCAGTACTGTAAACTGATATATTAATTTTTTCAATCTTTGACAAATGTTTTTTCTTATCACAAACTCCTCAACATCCTCAACAACTTACTTTCTACTATTCTGTTAATTGACTTCTGTTCTGTAAATATGTAGTGTATAGCTATTCTACATTGTCAGTAATTATATATTTGAACATTTGTCAGTTGAAGCAGAACTAAAAGGAAGAAAAATACTTCTGATAGAAGAATAAAAATGATTTATCAGTTGCATACATAGGTAGAGGCACTAGTGGGCAGAAAATAAATAAAATTCTATTTTTTTTTTCAACTAATTGGCCGTATTCCATTGAGGCAGGGTGGCCTAAAAAGAAAAACAAAAGTTTCTCTTTTTAAATTTAGTTTACCTGGAGAGAGTTCCGGGGGTCAATGCCCCCGCGGCCCGGTCTGTGACCAGGCCTCCTGGTGGATCAGAGCCTGATCAACCAGGCTGTTGCTGCTGGCTGCACGCAAACCAACGTACGAGCCACAGCCCGGCTGGTCAGGAACCGGCTTTAGGTGCTTGTCCAGTGCCAGCTTGAAGACTCCCAGGGGTCTGTTGGTAATCCCCCTTATGTATGCTGGGAGGCAGTTGAACAGTCTCGGGCCCCTGACACTTATTGTGTGGTCTCTTAACGTGCTAGTGACACCCCTGCTTTTCATTGGGGGGATGTTGCATCGTCTGTCAAGTCTTTTGCTTTCATAGTGAGTGATTTTCGTGTGCAAGTTCGGTACTAGTCCCTCTAGGATTTTCCAGGTGTATATAATCATGTATCTCTCCCGCCTGCGTTCCAGGGAATACAGGTTTAGGAACCTCAAGCGCTCCCAGTAATTGAGGTGTTTTATCTCCGTTATGCGCGCCGTGAAGGTTCTCTGTACATTTTCTAGGTCAGCAATTTCACCTGCCTTGAAAGGTGCTGTTAGTGTGCAGCAATATTCCAACCTAGATAGAACAAGTGACCTGAAGAGTGTCATCATGGGCTTGGCCTCCCTAGTTTTGAAGGTTCTCATTATCCATCCTGTCATTTTTCTAGCAGATGCGATTGATACAATGTTATGGTCCTTGAAGGTGAGATCCTCCGACATGATCACTCCCAGGTCTTTGACATTGGTGTTTCGCTCTATTTTGTGGCCAGAATTTGTTTTGTACTCTGATGCAGATTTAATTTCCTCGTGTTTACCATATCTGAGTAATTGAAATTTCTCAACGTTGAACTTCATATTGTTTTCTGCAGCCCACTGAAAGATTTGGTTGATGTCCGCCTGGAGCCTTGCAGTGTCTGCAATGGAAGACACTGTCATGCAGATTCGGGTGTCATCTGCAAAGGAAGACATGGTGCTGTGGCTGACATCCTTGTCTATGTCGGATATGAGGATGAGGAACAAGATGGGAGCGAGTACTGTGCCTTGTGGAACAGAGCTTTTCACCGTAGCTGCCTGGGACTTTACTCTGTTGACGACTACTCTCTGTGTTCTGTTAGTGAGGAAATTATAGATCCATCGACCGACTTTTCCTGTTATTCCTTTAGCACGCATTTTGTGCGCTATTACGCCATGGTCACACTTGTCAAAGGCTTTTGCAAAGTCTGTATATATTACATCTGCATTCTTTTTGTCTTCTAGTGCATTTAGGACCTTGTCGTAGTGATCCAATAGTTGAGACAGACAGGAGCGACCTGTTCTAAACCCATGTTGCCCTGGGTTGTGTAACTGGTGGGCTTCTAGATGAGTGGTGATCTTGCTTCTTAGGACCCTTTCAAAGATTTTTATGATATGGGATGTTAGTGCTATTGGTCTGTAGTTCTTTGCTGTTGCTTTACTGCCCCCTTTGTGGAGTGGGGCTATGTCTGTTGTTTTTAGTAACTGTGGGACGACCCCCGTGTCCATGCTCCCTCTCCATAGGATGGAAAAGGCTCGTGATAGGGGCTTCTTGCAGTTCTTGATGAACACGGAGTTCCATGAGTCTGGCCCTGGGGCAGAGTGCATGGGCATGTCATTTATCGCCTGTTCGAAGTCATTTGGCGTCAGGATAACATCGGATAGGCTTGTGTTAATCAAATTTTGTGGCTCTCTCATAAAAAATTCATTTTGATCTTCGACTCTCAGTCTGGTTAGCGGCTTCCTAAAAACTGAGTCATATTGGGACTAGAGTAGCTCACTCATTTCCTTGCTGTCATCTGTGTAGGACCCATCTTGTTTAAGTAGGGGCCCAATACTGGACGTTGTTCTCGACTTTGATTTGGCATAGGAGAAGAAATACTTTGGGTTTCTTTCGATTTCATTTATGGCTTTTAGTTCTTCCTGCGATTCCTGACTCCTATAAGATTCCTTTAGCTTAAGTTCGATGCTTGCTATTTCTCTGACCAGTGTCTCCCTACGCATTTCAGATATATTGATCTCTTTTAGCCATCTATACAGAAGAAGGGGTTACTAGCCCCTTGCTCCCGGCATTTTAGTCGCCTCTTACAACACGCATGGCTTGCGGAGGAAGAATTCTGTTCCACTTTCCCATGGAGATAAGAGGAAATAAACAAGAATAAGAACTAGAAAGAAAATGGAAGAAAACCCAGGACAGTGGTACCTCCTTGGGTGGTTGCTGTCTACCAACTTACTACCTAGAAAATTCTAATATGTGATAATTCAAGAATCAGTATAATTGTTTTATAATGTTAAATTTAGAGTGCCAAATTTGCAACAAAAACAAGAATGTAAAGTGTATACATATAGTAACAAAATAAAATAATCTTATTAGTTAGTAAGGAAGCTGCATACCAGTATTTCAGTGTTTATTCTGATACAATGCTTAAAAAAAAAGTGTACTTAAACTGAGCACAGATTATTTTCTTAATTCTGTTTGGAATTCATTTAATAATGTACTGTACAACCTTTTCTCCTTTAGTAAACTATTCCAAATCGTTTCTTTGAATGTGGGCTCTATAGATATTCAAATGAAAATTAATTAATTGAAGGGTATTTGTTTTTAGTGTTAGGCCCAGTTTCATCACAGCTTGTAATGAAATCTTTTGTCTAGGTCAACATTAAGATGTAGAGTAAACAGTAGAATGTGTAAAGGGTATTTATATTCAGTTGATTTAGGGGAGAAAGGTGAGTGTGTTCAGGCATCGGTGAAATGGTTATCTATAGAAGTGAAAAAAAAAGGGTGAGGCATGGGTTTTGAATGCTGCAGCAAGAAAGAGTCTACAGGTAATGAAGATATGTTTGAGGCCAATGTGTGGTTGGAATATAATTTAGAGAATTTGGGATGGGGAAAGTAAAAGGATATTGGGTCACTTCAAGGGCTGAGTGGTTGTTGAGGTGGTTTGGGAAAGTAGAGAGGACATAGAGGAATAGGATGACAGAGGGGTGTATATATCTGTAGTGGAAGGTAAGAGGTGGTGAGTGCTAAGACTGAATGGAGACAAGTGGTTTTTAATAAAGGTGCTATTCGAGTGTGAGCAAGCATGGTAACACTTATGAAGGGGGTCAGGGAAACTGGTTAGCCAGATTTAAGTCTTGGAAGTTGGGAAGTACAGTGCCTACAGGATTGAGACTAATCCTCCCAGATTGTCCAGGTGTACACTGTGTTGCTCCTTTTTCACCTACATTCCAAGGAATACAGTTCAAGGGACTTCAAGCGTTCCCAGCAGTTCATATTCTTGACAAAATTTATATGAGTAGTGAAGGTTCTCAGAACATTTCTAGTTCTATAATTTTTTTCCTACCTTGAAGACGGATGCTAACTTAGGGTTAGCCCAGGATAACACCAGAGGGTTAATAACCCATTACTGTATAACCTTAATGCCTTAATGTCTAAGGAAAATATCGGAGGGTTAAAAACTCAGGATAACATTGTAAGGTTAATAACCAAAAACAAAAATGGGGAGTTAACCCAGAATAAGCTAGAGAGTGTATAATTTATGATGATCAATCCCTAGAGGGTTATTAATCTGTGATAACCCTAGAGGGTTACTTATTGAGGATAACCCCCTGAAAGATAATAAACTAAGATAAAATTGGGTTAATAACCTAGGGTATTCCCAGGTTACTAACCAGGTTAATTTTGGATAATACTGGAGGAAAAATTTCCCAGTATAACATTGAAGGGTTATAAACCCAGTGTCTCAGCTTGATTGCTGGCGCACTCAGCTCACACACTGAGGTCCGGGGTTTGAATCTCCTCCGGTACGGCTAGAAAACATTAGGGACGTGTTTCCATAAGAAACCTGCTGTCCCTGTCCCTGTTCACCCATCAGTTTAATTAAAATGGGTATCTGGGTGTTAGTTGACTGGAGTGGGTCCCATCCTGGGACAAAATTGACCTAATTTGCCCAAAATGCTCAGCATAACAAGCAGCTTTCTACACAGAAGTATGTCACTGAAGTCAGCTAGGCCTGTATACCATGTTCATGTACTTGTAGTAAATAAAGATAGTATATTATGGCTTGGTTGGCAGAGCACTCACCTCACAGTGGCCATGGCTCAATCCCCAGCATGGGTGGAAACATGGGCATGTTTCCTTACACCTGTCCCTGTTCACCCAGCAGTAAGTAGGTATACCAGGGTGTTAGTTGACCAGTGTAGGTCGCATCCTGGGGGACAAGCTTGAAGGATGAAAACTGAAATAAGACAGGGTTATCCTGGGGGCTAACCCTCCGGTTGAATATCTGAACAAATCTTATCTTAAGGGTTAACTACCCAAGAAAACTAGGGTAATAATCAAGGATGACCCAGGATGACACTTGAGTGCAAATGACCCAGGATAACCTCCACTGTGGGAAAATTGATGGAATCAGTACAAGTAATCGCCGAAGCTGTTCGAAGCCACCTTGATAGATATAATTTGATCAGTGAATCTCAGCACAGTT